TACTTTCCATTTCAGCTCTCAGCTGAGTTCTGACACCGTGTTACTTGCGTGGAGACTAAGGATCACACAGAGCATGTTTAATCAGTTTTCCATCAAATCTACAAGCTAACTCAGAGGAAATGAAGTAAGATAAAACAAATACGTAATCGATTTTGCCCAACTTCAGCAAACAGATGCAACTCACCCTGTGGTCATACAGCTCCTAAATACAGCAGAAAACAGCGAGTGCACTGCTGGGACAGTCAGGAATGACGGACCAACTGCTAGTTATTTTAGCAGCATTTCTGTGCAGCTCTCGTCAAGTGTAAGGAAACTACACCCTTAGAAGTGACATCTGTATAAGATTTCATTATGACAATGTTATAGGAGATCAATCTGTTACTCTAGGGATTCTGGGTGCACAGACGAAATGTATTTAAAAGAGAAGCTGCAGTCACTTAAGACATATTTGAATGAAGCTTCTAATATTAATTTAATTTCTTAGAGGAATATTTATGCTTTAATTAAGTTTGGTACTATTACGATTAACAAATAGTGCAAAAGTTATTATTTCAGTCTGTTTGTCTTCTAGTTACATAACTCAATGCTTCAGTGTTTTACTGTTCTTTCACATTTAGGTGGGTACTCGTTAAGCTGTATCCTGATTAGCTTATCTTTGATACTGTATTAAAAATTTTCTAACATGTTTTGTACATCAAAGTGTGACAGGTTTGTGCTATCATGAAAATATAATTTTATTTTTGTTTTCTTAGCTTTGAAAATGCCATTTCCATGGAACTGGAGAACAGAAGCCTCCTGACAAATGAGAAATGTTCCTTTGTATATGAGAGACAAAAGGACAATCTACATATTGTATACTGGTACAATTCTCAGCTGAAATATTAAAAACATTTGAATGTGAGATTCAGTGATGAATATTAAATTACAAAATTAAGGGGTGAAAGAACATTGAGTTATAATAGAGGCAAGTTATAAAGGAAGGCAATATAATGCAGATTAATTTTTGCAGAAAAGAAAAACTTATTATGAGGTAGTTTAAGAGAAGGTTTGCAGGTACAAAATTACCCTTTTACTTTGTACTTGGGATACATACTCCCACCTTACAAGCATTCACTTCAGAAGTTTAGGGTTAACTGCAGCAGATTCCAGCAGTTTCCCTCTAGTTTTTTTTTCAGTCCACTGCAATAAAAGTTACAATTCAAACAATATATTTGATTGTCCCAAACATTTAGATTCTCAAGTTCTTCAGTTTCATAGGAAAATGGTCTCCTCTGTAAATTCTTTCATATACTCACGGCAATCTTTTTTAAGAGAAAATCTGAGATTAAAAAACCAAAAGGACAGACTTTTACTTCAAGCATAGTTAAAGAAAAATCTCTGTACTGAATGACTAAATGAAAACTTCAGCCAAACGTGTACCCTTTCTGAGTTGTGAACAAGTGAGAGCATAAGGCTAGAACTGGTCATAAAGTTTGGCTGTTCGCATTAAATTCATTATTTGTCGAGGATTTAATTTTCCAGCAGTATACTAAATCACAGCTTGAAAACAAAGTCTTCTGAAGTGATGCAAACAAAGCAATTTTATTTCCTTGTAGTATTTTTTAATTGCAGAAGGCCAAAGTCCTGGTTGATGCAAAAATTCACTGAAATGAATATTCTAAACACGTAGATAACTCAACAGGGTTCTAAATACACCAGTAATTTAATTTATAGGGGGAAAAATGTAGCAACTTACTTGTCAGCTGAGCTTTAGAGAACTTCCCTGTACAGCTGTGATCCTGGATATTGTTCTGCAGCTTCTGCCATTCCTGTGCTTGAAAGAGGTGGAGTCTAGCTGCTTTTGTCACAGCTACTGCCACATTCTTGATTCTGACACACAGAACAGCATGATCACCTTGATATTGAAAAAATAAAATCAACTACTCTGCCTTGATGTCAGTTACAAGCAAATGGTGTGGCACAGATTTTTTATAAGTAGCCACATTACAGCTTCACATAATTTCTTAAATTTTTACCATCACTTCCTAATAAAAGTATTTATGGACTTTCAGGAACAATTTCTATATATCTCATTAACAAAACACCGCATGCACGATTCCCTGTGATGGTACTTAAACAAACCTTCAATATAATCCAAATATAATTAACCTTCTCTACTACAAAAGCCTTGCTTTGCCTCCCCTTCCACCTCTTTTTTTTTAAAACAGACTTCCAGATACCTTTTTCTTTTTTCCTTCCTCCCACCCCAAATTTTATTTTCTCAGGTCAAAGACAGTGCCTCAGTAGCCTCAATAATTGGTTCAAATCTAGTATTTTATGACCTTTGTGGCATGATTACAAGCACCGTGGGGTAGCTCTTAAGAGAGCTTAAGAGAAATACCAGAAGAACTTATGTAAATGGACTTTCACGTTATGGATGGATTAGAGCTAAAATACTTAATTGCAGAGATGACAGATGTCAAATTGATACAAAAATAATCAAACTTCAAAAGTGTTATCTAATGTGTCAATCTACATACAGAATCATAGAATGGCAGAATGGCCTGGGTTAGAAGGGACTTAAAAGATGATTTAGTTTCCATTTCCCCTGCCACGGACAGGGACACTTTCCACTAGACGAGGTTGCTCAAAGCCTTATCCAACCTGGCCTTAAACATTTCAGGGATGGGGCATCCACAACTTCTCTGGACAACCTGTTCCAGTGCCTCACCACCCTCACAGTAAAGATTTTTTTCCCTAATGTCTAATCTAAACCTACTCTCTTTCAGTTTGAAACCACCACTCCTTCTCCTGTCACTATAGGCTGCACCTTGACACACAGAAATATTTCAGTCATTTTAGAACTAGCTCATTTGGCACAATTTATCTTGTCTGAGTAATTCTACAATCCTCAAATTTGTTTTGATAAATTCTTTTACATATTGCCATAGACTTCTTTAACATAAGAGTATCCTAAATTAAAAGGTAGAATTTAATGTAGAAGAAAAATCAATTGGTACTGCAAGAGCACAAACTCCATTCAAGTTTAAACAAGCTTTGAATGTTTATCTGTAAGAGTAATCTTCTTTCCCCCTAACCTTGGCATCAGCTAGATTTGAGTCAACAGACTAGTACCAGCTTCAGATAAGGATGATTTGCTGTTCACAGCCAGCTGCAAGACAGTGGTCCTGCAATAAAACCTCAGATAAGGTGATCTCCTGGTATCTGTAAAACATTGTATGAACTACAGTTTGCCTAAGATTTTGAACTGTTTAAAAAAAAGCTTCATGTTGGTATTCATGCAAAAAGAAGAGTATTTCTAAGCAAATATGCCACATCAATTTACAGAATTATATCTGAACACTTACACAACTCATCTTTAATCTTAACAGTCTTTCCTCAGATTTAAGCAGTGCACTTTTTTTTCCTTTAGATCTATTTAGAGCACTTCTACAATTATCTTCTAGGACAGTGATAATTAACTGCTTTCAAGTCACTCCACAAGCTATCTCCACCCCATCTATCATCTCTCATTCAGTGCTGGAAGGTCACACTCCAACTCCATTTGGCTTATGTTTTCCTTTGTCCCATTTGATTTTCACGTATTCTGCAAAACTCTTGCTGTCGTGAGGCTCAATGGGAAAGAAAATAGCCTAAGCTACCGAAATGCTGAGCATCCAGGAAAAGCATGCTGACCGTACATGGCACTCATCATGCTTTCGTACACTTCCTTCTGCAGAGTAAAACTTCTGCAGAAAGGAGAGTAGTTTCCAGCCTTCTGGAGTGGCCATTCCAACAGGATCCCAGCCTGCTGCTAGGCCTCTTAGCTAAGAGTCAGGAATTATTACTAACAAGGAGTCAGTAACACAGGAAAGAAAAGCCATTGGGAATAACCAGGTGAGACTTTACATCCTGACGCGTGGTGACACCAGGAGCACCCGGCGATGGGGCACAGCCACCTGCAGCGTTGGCATCGCTGCCGCTCGGCGGGGTCCCGGGAGGAAAGGAGGGATGCGTGTCACAGCTAAAACGCCTCTGCTCTCCCGGACACTGGGACAGGAGTGCCCACCCCAGGCTGCGGGACACGACAGGACGCCCGACGCTTCTCCATCCGACACAAAGAGCGCGGGAGCGCGGGGCTGCTCCCAACTCTCGCTTCCAGCGCTTCGGGACAGCCCCGTCGCGCTCCGAACGGGTTCCACTGCTGGCCGAGCTGCCCGGAACAGCGGATCGGACCTGCTGAGCATCCCGGCGGAGAGAGTGCAGGAAGGAGGGAGGGAAGGAGGGGGAGCTGCGGGGCTGACCCCGTTCCCCGCCCCGCGGCTCCGCCGGGAGCTGCCACTCTCCCCGCTCCTCACACCCCCCGCAGCCGCGTTCCCGGACGGCGCAGCCGCTCTCCCGCTCCCCGACCTCGGGGCACCCACCGTGGAACTGGAAGCGCGCCACGGGCCGCCACGGCTCGAGGCGGGCGGCGGCGCTGGCGAAGCCGCCGCGGAGCGTCTTGCCCATGGCGGGGCCCCAACAGCAGCAGCCGGCGGCGGCGGCGCAGAGCAGCCACAGCAGCCGCCGCCGCATCCCCGGGATCGGGATGGGGATCGGGACCCGCCGGACACCGGGATCCTCCTCCCCCTCCCCGCTCTGCCCCACAAGATCACGTGACACCCCCCGAGCTGGCGCGAGCGAGAGGGCGGGAGCGCAGAGAGAACCAATGAGGGGACGTGCCCGCCCCCGGGGGCGTGACCGGGAGGCTAGGCCCCGCCCCTGCCGCAACGTGTCCCGTTGCCGGGCGCGGCTGTAAGTTGAGAGAGCCGGTGTCGTAAAAGAGGTGACGTCCATCGATTCGCTGGAGGTGGAGCTTTGGTGCTCTGCGCAAGCCGTGCTCGCGCCAGTGCCCTGAGGGGCGGCAAGAGCTACGGTCTTGGGGCCGCGGGGGGAGCGAGGAGGGCGATTTTTCAATAAGCCTCTCGCAGGTGCTGCGACTCTGCCCATGAAACCCGTTGGCCCGTTCCGCGCACGCGCGGCCGTGGCGGGGGAGAGGGGAACGGTGCCGTAAAGCGCGGACGGCGGACGATGTCGGGGCGGGCGGGTGCCGCGGCGCCGCCGGCGTTCGAGAAGCGGGTCCTGGTGACAGGCGGCGCCGGCTTCATGTGAGTAGTGCCCCGCCCGGGCTCCTGCCGGGTGGCGCGGGTGAGACGCCTTGTTCCTGTCCCGGGCCGGTCTCGCGCCGCCGCCGGCTCAGGGGCTGCTGGTGGCCCGCTGTGCGTTTGGACGTGGTAAGTGCTGGGGAGCGAGCTGGGGTGCTGCCCCGCCCGCCTTTCGCCCCCGGACAGCGAGAAGATGAAGGACCCCCCGGCGCTGACAGTGGGAGGCGGTGCTCGGTCTCTGCCGGGATTATGGTTGTACAGGGAAGGGCAACGAAACTGGCGAAGGGTCTGGAGCACAAGTTCTGTGAGGAACAGCTGAGGGCGCTGGGGATGTTTAGTCTGGAGAAGAGGAGGCTCAGGGGAGACCTTATCGCTCTCTACAACTACCTGAAAGGAGGCTGTAACCAGGAGGGGATCGGCCTCTTAGGCAGCTAGAGACAGGATGAGAGGACTTAGCCTCAAGCTACGCCGGGGAGGTTCAGGTTGGACATCAGCAGGAATTTCTTCACAGAAAGTGATTGGGCATTGGAATGGGCTGCTCAGGGAGGTGATGGAGCCACTGTCCTTGGAGGTGTTCAAGAAGTGACTGGATGTGGCACTCAGTGCCATAGTGTAGTTGACAAGGTGGTGATCGGTCATAGGTTGGACTCGATGATCTCAGAGGTCTTTTCCAACCTGAAAGCTTTTGTGGGTTGGGGGTCGAAGTGCTTTGAGCCAGCTGCTATTTCCCATGTCAGCCCCCCGGTGTTGTTGGCTCTACTGGAGTCAGAGAAAGGTCTGGTCTCTCTTAAGCTTGAGCCCATCAGTGAGCTCTGAGTCAGAAGCTATGAGAGGATTAGATTTCTGTGTATGAGTAACACCTGCTAAACCTGAGCCCTTAGGGTGAGCTTCTTGTACACAAGACTGTGCCAAGGAGGAAATGCCACCCGATTGTCTGGTTGTCACTTCTTGACAGCAGTGTTGGAGAGCTGAGTGATGGGAGTCAGTATTATGGGTTAGGAGAGTTGACTGTTTGGTTCTCCCTGATGCCTAATGTATAAAGAGTGTAAAAGTATTTTAGAATGGCAATTGAATATAGCACTTAACAGTTTGTTGGGGTTTTTTTTATGTGACTGTGAGGAATGCTGATTTCTTTCATTATAGCATGAAATTTTATTCTGATTTTTAATTTCTTAACTGTATGCAGTTATGTATACAGTATATTAGAATAATGTATAGAGTATATGTTAGAATAATGTTGACATATATCTTTGAATTTCTCTTTTACCTCTCTTGAGTATAGCCCCTTCTTCCCCCGAGGACTTTTGATATTGCTGAACTTATTTGTAATTTGCCATCTCTTTGTTACCTTAAAGCTAAGTGTATAATTGTAAAATATGTTTTTCTTCTACTCTGCAGTGCTTCACATGTAGTGGTCTCTCTGGTGAAAAACTATCCAAATTATCTGATTATAAATTTAGATAAGGTAATAGCTTGTTTTCTTTCTTGATATGGAAAACTGTTTTAAATGATTTTTGATGCAGTCTATAACATATTAAAATTTATATGGTCTATTGTTAGTTACTAATTTTTGTTTGATATTCCATTTCTTCCTATGCAAACAAAAAAAGTCAACTGCTGTTTGTGTTCCCACCACAAATAATTATTTGATTTAAAAACAAAGAAAGAGGGAAGCTTTTCAAGCTTTAAACTTGCGTTTAAGAATTTTTGCATTTAAGGTATCTTTTGAAGTTGTGTTTTTAAAGCTTAATCACATCTGCTTATGAAATAGGTTTTCTTTTGAAATAAGTTTTTACTTTATTCTCAGACTTTCTACTGATTAGGTTAGCTTATTTGCTTCCTGAAGCCCACTTATTGATGTTGTGTGGTTATTTCTCTTTAGCTCGACTACTGTGCAAGCTTGAAGAATCTTGAAACTGTCTCTGGGAAGGAAAACTACAAGTTTATCCAGGTGATAAAGCCTTCTCTTCTAGAAACTTGACTTTTTACTGATTTTTATCCCTTTGTATCCCAGGTAATGTGGTCTCCAGAGGTCCCCAAAGTGGAAACCACTGCTTTCATTTATGATAAAGTTGAAATTACTTCTACTCCTTCACTGTCAGAAATGAGTCAGCATAGGTAATATGCCAGTGTATGTGACAGTCAAATGGACATAACAGCATTTACTTCATCTGTTGCCATATTAATAGCCTTTGTATTTCACCCTCAGAAGCCTCTGACCATATGCGGTATATTCTGTCTTTTACATGAAGTAGTCTTTGAAGAGTTGATATATTTGATTGTATCACAAAGGTGTAGAATTGGTAAAAGTGTAATTTTGAGATGAGTGGTTTTAGGGATGGTTGTTTCACTTTTAATATGCGTGTGGTCAAGATGGACTTCGACGCAGCTCTTCTGTGCTTCTGTGATGCTCTCTTAGACTTTGAACCTTTAAAATCCACTGCTTGTCATATTCCATGGTGTGCAACACACTGTTGTGTTCGTACTGGACATCAGGCTACGTTCTTGCTTGTGCTGCTGTTGATGCTCATACAGTTCACAGTCATTCTGGAGCGGGGTTTCATGGTAACATTCAAGGTATACCTTTTCTTTTAGAAGTTTTGCCAATTAAATTTGTTTACTGCTTCCACAGTTTGTCTTCAAATAGGAGATTGATTCTGATTTATTGTTCAGATCAGTATTCTGACTGTTGGGCTTGTATGCTGAGGTTCTTCCTCTCTACCAAAGTCAGTGCTGATGCTGGTCTCTCTGTCTTGGGGGCTGCCCAAGGCTGCAGGACATCTGAGAAGTGCATATAGTTTAGTTTTCTGAAATAGCAACATTGTCAGAGGTAGTAGATGTGAGTTTATATTTTTTCTTAGGTTCAGGTGAAGTTGGGAATTGAGTTTGCCCTCACCTGTTTGGTGACCCCCAAGACTGTTTATGTTTTTGTGAACCTAAGCCCTTTGTTTCAGATAAGGGATTATCTCTGGGCTATTGGGATAAAAATTGTGTGACAGGGAAGGAACTGTCTGTATGCAGATGTGCACATATATGCAGTTTTAGCCAGACTGGCTTTTTGATTATTTTTCCGAAGGTCTTTGACTGTTTCTACTCTATGATATGAAATATATGAGTGCCATATAAAAGCCTTGTTAGCTGAATAGATATTAACATTTAAATGCCGAGGAGAGCATGGAATTCTAGAAGACAGCCACTGAACAATCAGGTCCCTGTGTGAAGCAGGGCAACAGTAACAAGAAATGATCTGGTTATACTGCTTTTGAACTAGAGTAGGAATATCTTGTCACAACACTTAGACCAGTATAAATAATTCCAGCTTTTCAGTGTTTGTTTGGTTTGTTTTTTTTTTTTTTTTGTGTTTTGGTGCTTGTATGTTTTTTTTTGTTTTGTTTTGTGGGAGTTTTGTTTTTTTTTTTTGGTTTGGTTTTTTTTTGTTGTTTGTTTTTGGTTTTGTTTGTTTGTTTTTTAGAGACGGTTTGTCACAGCTTAACATGCAGCTGATATGCAACCATGCTGTTTACACAGACAGGAAAAAGTGCCCTGGAAAAAATAATCTCTGATGTGTAACCCTTTTGATTAGAAATGTAACACTGTTGCTGACCTTAGGAGACAGCAAGAAGGATAGACACTGTAGTGGTACTTGAAAAGGAAACCTGTTTTGGAAAGTAGAGAAGTAAAAGTTTAGCAAATTTGCATCAGGGCCTTTGTAAAAGATAAGTTTTTATCACAGTTTCTGTTGTTGCTCATCACAGATGTACTAAGCTTGAATTTCAGTTTAAAAAAAAATCAGTAATTGTAACCATTTAGTTCAAAATAAGGTATGAGCTTGAAATGTATTTACTGGAGTGTTTCACTTTTATTCAGGGATGAGAAGTAGGGAAATCAGTTCACCTTCCTCCCATTTCTGACATAGAATACTTTTTTGAGGCTGTTATTCAGAATTGTTACTTGAGAACTTCTTGAACATAGATACATTTGAACTATTTTTAGTTACCTAGCTTGTTTTTGAAAATACAAAAGTCTTCCACGAGACACCTCTTCTCAGGTACTGTCTTGTTTAAGTTGAGCCAACAGGTAAATATCAAAAGGTTTTTCTCAGCTTGCATTTACCTTTAGAAGGTGCTAGTTCTGATGTCAAATTAAAGAATGTTTTTTTGTGTCGATGCCTGTCTCTTTTTTGGTAAATATATCAATTAAAAAAATAAATTACTGTAACAAACAACAAAAAGCAAAATCCTCACAAGACGTGCAGCCATCTGTTTTGACAGAAGTGGAAATCAGCTTCACCACTGGATGTCACTGTCTGCTTAGCCAGACTCCAGTAACTCTTACTTGCTCTTTCAAACTCAGCATTGAAGTTCCACAATATGTTGCTGTTGTGTGTATTTTGGGGAACGCTGCTGTTTTTTATGTTAATAGTAATAAGTTTCCTGAAATGAGTTTTGTTGAGGATGTTTCGCAAAATGGGTGAAATTTATTATCTGGTCTTATTTTAGACATGGAATTGATAAATTGCCCAAAACTCAGTTGGTAGTGGTGTTTATATCCTGTGCTCACTTTGTCATGATTTGTTATATGACAATTGGTATGAGACTATTTTCTATCAAAAATGATTTTCTAATTTTTTTTAGGGGGATATTTGTGTACCTGATTTTATAAAACACCTCTTTGAAACTGAGAAAATAGATATAGTCCTTCATTTTGCAGCCCAAACACATGTAGGTGAGCATCACTGCATGTTTTCATATTGTTTTCCATGGCTATACCTGCTTGAAATGTATACTGATATTTTTTGTCTTTTCACTCCATATAAACTAAGGATCCAGTTTGTATCTGCAAATGATGTGCTTCACTGTCTGGTAGCCTTTTTAACTTAAAGGAGGTCATAGCCTTGATTTCAAAAGTGCTTCATTTGACTGTTGTCTGCTTTGATTGCACATAAATGGTAATGCCCTCCTCCCCCTTTTTACTTGCATTACGTTTTTAAATTCTATCTAGACTCACATGTAACTGACAGTGTACTGATGGAGTCATAAAGGCAATGGAGAGAGAGTTTGTGCAGAGTCTTAAGTTTTTACTCGATTGGCTCCAACCTCACATGAGAAAACACGGTGTAGAAGCTGAAGGATTAAGTCCCGTCAGAATGCTGCCTCAGTTCTAGAGAGAATGAATTGTACTTAAAAGTGCCTATTTCAGATTGCTGCTCTTCATTATCACTGTTATTAAGAACAATCCCTGCCATGCTCCTTTCATTGTGAGAAGAAATCCTCAAAGAATTCCCCAGGAAAATACTTCTTGAAATTGTCAGATATTCACAAAGTCATTAGGTCAGTTGGACAGTTAGAATTAGAGCAGGTGCTGGTTAATTACAGTAATAGATATGTGTTATTGCATCTTACAACGGTCTTTGACACTTTTCTTACTGGGCTTAACCTTTCCGAGTGAGAAGGGAAGTAGTTATGCTTAAATAAAGTTAGATAATGCTATTTTAGGTTAAAAAGTCCATTTCCAATAAGCTGTTGCTCCGGATTCCAACCTCTTGTTGAAAGCAAGGATTTTTGTCTTCAAGTAAGTGTAGAAAGTCCCTTTATTTAATAATGACCTTGCTATCTCACAAGTCTATATTTCAACCTCTAGTATTATTCAGTAGGAACCAATAGCCCTGTGTTGCCTAAATTTAATCAGAATTGTTTGAATTTTTTTTATGTAGATCTTTCATTTTGGCATGCCCTGGAATTCACCTACGTGAATGTTTATGGCACTAATGTGCTAGTTGCTGCTGCACATGAAGCCAATGTGGAGAAGTTTGTCTATGTTAGTACAGATGAAGTATATGGAGGTAGCACTGATGGGGTAAGTTTGAAAGTACCTGAGGGTTTTCCTAGCTTTACTTGCTTTTAATAGTGAAAACAAACCGAGCCTAACTTTCCTTGGCTTTTGTAAATGTGTGACTTTCAAGCTGTTTCTGACAGTACTGGGACATGTAAATAAACACTGGTTGTTTCTAGAAAGCTGAGTGTCAAAATTGTCCTGATTTTTTTTTTTTTTAAATATGGTGTTTTATATTGAATATGTATTACCTAAAGCAGTGAGGTTGGGGTCATTAGTGACCTGAATACTGCTCAGAAATAGTATCAGAGAGTGTATTATGTAGTTTTTGTCTTGGAGCATTAGTGAGATTTCAGTAATGGGCACAGTTTGACAGGTGGGGAACTGCTTTTATTCTCTAGCTAAAATGCTAACAGAACTGTAGGTAGTGACAATTCAAACAGGAAACAATTCCTGTATTACTGTAATAAATATTCAGGTGTTTATTGTTGTTCTATGAAAATCTTTGATTTCTGACAATTTATGCCTGACCTTAATTCAGGAAATGTGATTTAGCTCAGTAAAAAGGCAAAATATGCATGTTCATCTTTTTAAGGGCAGAAATAACAGTCAAGGAGCCTTGTGCTATAGTCCATGAAAATATTAATGTACTTTAGAAAATCCTGTGCACTTTCTTATTGTCGCAATGTCTTTTATCAGTTCCTTCAACACAACTTCCGTCAGTAGACTTTAATGATACCTGAGGAGAATGTTTTCTTGTGTGTAGACCAGTGGTTTGGCTGATACCTTCAAGTGAACCTTTTCTGCCTCTAGGCATTTGAAAAGAGCACTTTAATCTTTGTGAATCACACTAGAAATTCTTGTAGAGTTTTTTTGAAGGGAGGAAGTCCAATTAATTTCAGAGGCAATGGTCAGACAAGAACAGTAAGTCTTTTAATCGTGTTAAGGTGATTGTTACAAATCACACTTTGTGTAGTATCCCTCCTTGGGTTGGTCTGGTTTTTTTCTTCCAGGGGAGAAGTAGACTGAAGTGGCAAGATAACCTGGAAACTACCTGTTTTTGGAAGAATTATTGAAGCTTTGCTTTGGAGGCTTTTGTGTTGCAATTCTACATTTCTTACAGAAATAAAATTTATAGAGAAGCTTAAGAAAAGACCCCTTTAATTTCGGTCAATTTGCTAGTGGTGGTGCGATGGCGCTCTGAGGCAATATGAACTTGAAAAGGATTGAGCCTCCCTGTAGCAAGGGATTTACTATCTTACAAGATAAAAATCTAAGGACCTGCTACCTTGAGGTACTCTGCTAGAAGTACAAAAATACTGCTGCTGGTGACCTGGCTGCCTCCTGTGTTTGATAAATAGACTGTCTTTTGTTGTGGACTTCGTCAGACAGATGTGCTTGGATATTTAGGGATTTTTCTTTTGTAACTTTAAGGCTTATCTGGCCAAAAGAAATGGAGTAATGCATTTTTTTTTTTTTTGTTTTAGGAATTTGATGAATCTTCACCAAAACGTCCAACAAATCCCTATGCCTCCTCTAAAGCAGCTGCAGAGTGTTTTGTTCAGTCTTATTGGGAAAGGTACCAAGTAAGTTGATGGAAGCTTTAAAAACTCTGAAGCCTATAGTTAAGTGTCTGTATTATGTATAGAAGAGTATAAAAAAAACCTCACTACTAGTCCACACAGTGCCTCCTCTTTCCTTATTGTTAGTCCTCTAGTTTGGATGCATTGGAGAATGTCCACCAATAAGTAGTGGAGATACACTGCTAGACAGTGTGGACAGGTCAGATGTGTTAAATTTTTGAATCTGCACTGTAATGTCTAAAAATGCGCTTTGATAAAATGATGAAAGAGAACATTAGGAATTTAAAAACCACTGCTAAGTTTGAAGGAAATAAGAAAGTATTATACAGAAGCAGAACATGCAAAATTCAAATTGTATTAAGACCAGGCTTATAGTCAAAACAAAAAAAGAAAGAAGAAAAAGTCCTATTAGTCAGATTTGCTTAAGCAAAAATATTTAAAATTTTCAATGCTTTAGGCTTTTGTTCTTGACATGATATTTTTGATATAAAGTGGACATGAATAGGATGTTAATGACATCTTGGAATAAGTACATGTATGTAATGTCCTCTGGTGGTTCCAGAGCAAGACAGAGATTTCAAACATTTGTCACCTGTGGTACTTCTAACAGGCTGAGAAGGCTGGAGGCCCTTGCCTGTTTGGGAGAAACACAGGTAGTTTAATTCATTAATGTTTGTAAAGGCTTACAAGATTTTTGAATAAGCACTGTGCTTGTGTCAGTTTGTGGTTTATTGAATAGCAAGAAGCTTACAGATTTTTACTGGTATATATTTTCTTATGTAATCACATGTATGTTTAATGCTCTCAAGTTTCCAGCTGTTATCACACGGAGCAGTAATGTTTATGGACCACATCAGTATCCAGAAAAAGTAAGTTAAACTATGCTTTACTCTGAGCTTCAGTGTACCGTAATTGAGGGTTGCAGAGATGTTACTTTTTTCTCATATAAATGGGGTCACTTTTGAAAAAAGCGCTATTGCAACTAATGTGTGATTGTATATTTTGAACTCAGACTAACATGTCTTACCACAAGCACATCTTTTTTGATCATCAATAAAACTTCAATTAGAGACTTTTCATTATTTATGTGAATTTTATGACAGTGACTTTGTTTCGTTATTTTTCTGTTTTTGAAAGGATATCTTGGCAGGGTTCCCCTACAAATTACATAAATTCATATGTCATGTTCTGTAATTGGGAGTTTGTAATAACTAAGGTAAACATTTCAAAAAATAAATTGTGAGAGCACAATATGTCTGGTATAGAAAGTGATGTTCTAACCTGTACAGAAAACAGATAAGATGAAGCTTATAGCATACAGATATGAGGGGAGAAGTAGTGTAAAGTGACTGGTCTTTGCATGTATTTATACAGACCTTGCAGGGTAACTATTTAAAATGGTTATTTGTGAGAGGGAGCTGCCTTTTTAAGTCTATACCAAAATCTGCTATGGAAATCTAGTTCATGGAAATATATTGATGGAATGAAAGTGATAATCATATGTACTCCTTGAAGTTTGGAACTTGTGTGAAATATAACTATATTTTGCAGTTCTACTGAGGTATATTTTTTAATTTGAATGGCTCTTTACGTTTTGTGGTGGTGGTTCCCTCCCTCCCGCCCAGATAAATTTATTTTCCCCTACATTATTGCAGGTGGATAAGCAATGTTTTTTAGAATACATTTTTCAATGATCTGTGACTTGGGAAATGCCTGGCTACAAGTTGCATGATTGCTGGAAGTATATTCAGGGGATGTATCACTATTTGCTTGGTTTTGACTTCTATATATTCTTCCTCACATACCCAATTTCAGTTACTGCTAAGAACACAGCACTAGGCTAGATGAATTTTTAGTTTTACTTAGTATGTCTGTTCCTATGTTTAAAGTAGTAAGTTAACAAAATTAAAATAATTTGAGTAGTTTGCTTATGGCTTAAGTTTAAGAACTTTAGTAATGAGGCCAACTGTTCTGAAGTTTCTGGGACATTATGAATGGATGTAAACTTGTAGCTGAACATAATGCTGTAAATCTTTGTGCAGCAAGCTAGTGGCTGTTGCTTGATCTGTGTTTATTTTCCTTGAAATTCTCTGTTGGCTCTCTTCCAGTTTTAACTATTTCAACAACTCTTACTTTTTGATTATAGATTTACTATAATTTGCTGGATATTTAAACCTTGTTCTGAACTGTTGGCAGTAATTATTTCTAGTTACTGTTGTGTGCAAAAAGTAATGGAAATTTTTTTTATTTTTGTAAAAATGTTACATTTTGTAACTGCCAGAAAGATAAGGTTTACACTAAAATAGAGGCATCTACTCTTAAGGACCAAAAGCCTTGCAGTTTCTAGGCTTGATACATTCTTTCATTAGACTTAATAAAACTTAAGTATTTAAAGGATTTTAATAAAATACTTAATGATACTTGACTGGTGAAGTCCTTATTCAGATTAACAACTTCTAAAATAGCTGAGTAATTTTTTTTTGTTTGATTCCTTAGGTTATTCCAAAGTTTATATCTTTGTTGCAACAGAACAGAAAATGGTAGGTAACTTGCGTTTTTTGTTTGTGGTATTTGTGCTATAAAACTGTAATTATGATTATAAATATGTGCTACAGTTTGTAAAATGATAATTTCATAACTAAGTTATGAATTAGTTATTTTAATAATAGGATTTCCTTAAAGTAAAGGATAGTTTACATGTCAGCTACTGAAAGTACCTTCAGGTAACATCTAACAGTAAAACTGATTAAAATACAGTCCAGTAAATTGAACCTGTCTGTTTAAGGTTTAACAAAAATTTTTTGTCTTTTCCTTGTCCTAGCTGTATTCATGGTTCTGGACTTCAAAGAAGGAATTTCCTTTATGCAACTGATGTGGTAGAAGCATTCCTTACTGTCCTGAAGGAGGGGAAGCCAGGTGAAATTTATAACATTGGAACTAACTTTGAGATGTCCATTGCCCAGCTTGCTAAGGAGCTAATCCATTTAGTGAGTAAACAGTTCTGATGCTTTTTTTTACCATTTTTCTTTGCACATATTTACAATTCTTCTACAAACCTCTTGTAGCTCTAAAAGAGCTGAGATTTGTGATGGGTCTTGGAAGGTAATTGTAGCAGAATGATGTGCTACCTCTTCTGTGGCAGCTGTACTGTGTAAGTTTGCAGTACAGGCTATGCTGTGTTGGACTGCTGCATCAGTTATCCTGACTGGGACATAACTGGCATAGTGATTAAATACCATTTAGTAGGGTTTTTTTCATGCTAGCTGCTTTAGTTTTGGTCTGAAAATGTAGCACTATTAAAATCTAACAATTTGATTATGGATGTTTTGGCAGTGCTCAGATGAAGGAGAAATATTGAAATTGTTCTAGACAATTTTGGTAATTTCAGTTGTTTGAAAACTCAGTTTACAAAAGACCATTTCTGTTTGTGGTTTGTTTTTTTTTTTTCTTAACAAACATATCTTGTTAAGTGTGTTTTTTTTAAGTGTATGGTTAGACAGTAGTGCAAGATGTATGGGGTTGATAATTGTTTCTCTTCTTGACAGATAAAGAAGACCAGTTCAGAATCTGAAATGGAGCACTGGATGGATTATGTCAAAGACAGGTAAGGAGTGTGGAGCATTTGCAGGATATCTTGGACATGCAAGATAGCTTTGTCCTGAAGGTTTCTGATACTCTTGCCAAATAGTTTTTTGTGGAAGTGTTTCTGTTCTGAAGGAGGGAACACTTCTGAGGGACTAAGCTGTTTTGCTGTCTTAATTTTTTTTTTCACTAGTGTATTTGACATCTATGATCTATACAGAGCATTGTATAGAAAAACAGGATTTCCATTTATTATTTGGATCTTTAGGTCAGAGTGTATGTCTTGAAGGGGAATGTGTAATGCTAATCTGTCTGTCTTCAAACTTTCTTCATACTTCTCACTACTGAAGCCCACTCTGGGAAGAGAGGACAGGTTTTGCACAGCAGCTAAATTTTTTCATCAAGATAGTTTACATAGGTTATTCAGTACTTTGTATTCAACATCACTGACTGAGATGAATTGTCTCTCGCTTAGCTTTGGTATTTTGACGTTAATGTGACTAATTCAGACTTATATGTATTTTATAGTAAGACCCACTCTGCAGGCAGAAATATGTGCCTATGGAGTGTAGTTACTTTTAGATTTCTATCTTAAGCTGAAGCTGCTATCTCAAAAGTGGATGCAAATCTCTAAAGTGCCAAAGTTAGGGTGTTGGTAAAAATGGATAACTTTTATAGATGTGCTTTTGCTGTGTGTTTCTGTCCTTAATTTCAGGCTTGGTTTCGCTCTGTTCTTTTATCTCCATTTCTTTTCAGCAACAATGAGTCTCTGCTTACTTTAGATATCACTCTCTCCAGAGTGATTAGAAATGACGTGTCTACTGATAGCAGTTAAGTATTATGGCCTTTAGAATTCTCACTTTCTGTTCACATGTGGATTGTTATCATAGCAACTGAAGTGTCTTTAAATGTACTTTTTTTGTTTTGAAAAGGAAGCGTTCTTCAGAATCCTGTCTGAGTATCACAGACCTTTGAACAAATTGCCTTTGGCTCACATGATATGACTGTTCAGTAGGTCTCAGTGTAATTCAGCCTGGGATGTTTCTTCATGTGTATTAGGCACTGTTTCCTCATGTTTAAACATAAATGGGCTTGGGAAAACTAACCACATAGGAATACATGCTTCAAAGAAGGTTGAGGTCTTATAAAAGCTACCTAACTAATGATTTAATTCTGTAATGAGCGACTTAAAGGTCATGGGGGTTACTTGCTATGGAAAAATTAGTTCTGCTTCTGCTTGAGATTAGTGTGTTATAATAACAGTGAGAAGTACTTGGTTTGTGTTTGCACATGTACCTTGACTATTCAATATGCCAGTGCCAGTAATGCAGGAATGCTAGACAAGGCTACCTATCTGCCAGACTGTGGAAGTGAAAATCTGTGTAAGATACCTCTTTCTGTGTTGAATCTTGCAGCTTGGGATTCTACATATTCAGTAGTACCACGTTTATGTAGCTACCCTGAGGCACTGTAATGACAATGCTTTGGAAGCCTGTGTGTTTTAAATCTGAAGTATGTGTAAATTTGCGAGTTTTCAGGATGAAAAATGTAAATGCTAATATTAGAAAACACTGGCTTTGTGTTGCAAGTGCAGTGACTTGCACAATTGCATTGGCAGTGATTCGAGTTTTACATTAATTTTGTGCCAGTAAAATATTAATTCATATTTATTCTAGTCAATTCCAAGTAACTGACTGTACAAACTGAATTGTATTGTTGTAGCTTCACTCAGCTGCCACGTATTTTTTGAAGGCAATGCAATCTGTTCATGTTGATGGGAATTTTTAAAATTGAAGCATACCTAATATTCCTTTGAAGACAATGTGAAGTACTGCATCTCTAATTAATGAAGTCTGATCAAATTGTTTTCTGTATGCATTTTATACTTCATCAGGCCTACAAATGACCTGAGATATCCAATGAATTCAGAAAAGATGCACAACTTAGGATGGAGACCTAAAGTGCCTTGGAAAGAAGGAATAAAGAAAACAAGTAGGACTGATGGCTTTTACACTGATGTAGAATTGATAGGAGGAGGGAGGGGGGGAAGGGGGAGGAAATGGGTATATAGGTTAGTTAATTAGAAGCTAAAGAGATAGAATTTAACGCTTAAATTTTACATAGAATTGTCTGCTTTTTAGTAGTGAATTTACATGATTTTAAAAAAGTTTAATCCCTTTTTAGTGCTAGAATAAGTCTTGCATGAAGAACTTCTAAAATTTAAACTAGATTTTTATGGTATTATAGGTTAAAATTTTGCATAATGAACTATTAGCATGTTGTTAGTCTTATGATGTCTGTGGAATATTTGAACTTCCCTGTTATCTCTGGTCAGCTTGACTCATCAACGTTTTCTCCATACTAGTTGAATGGTACAAAGAAAACTTTCACAACTGGAAAAACTCGGAGAAAGCTTTGGAGCCTTTTCCTGTGACAGAGCCATTTGCACAACTCGGTGGTCCATAGGGTGGTGCAGAACCTGAAGGAGTTTTTTCTACCTCATACGATCTTTTCTTCAAAGCCTGCAATCAAGTGGCTGCACTGGAGTCTGAATGTTTTCAAGATACATGTGATGAGTACAGAGCTACAGTGTGGCACAACTTTGGAACGGTTTCAGCTTTTGGTGCAATACTCTATTCTCACTAGGTATTGATTTTAAAGACCTGCACAGAGTGAAGCATATTTATAATGCTATAAAGTTACGTAACTGAAGTAAAATCTGCCTTATTAACTAAGAATAATTAATTGCAATTATAGCTTTGGGACTTTCAGTTAGCTTCATTTTAGTTGTGAAATCATTTGTCTGTATTAGTTTGTTTTTACAGTGTAATATATTATTTTTGTCACTTCAAAGAGTTAAGTTTTATTTTTAATCAAGAGGAGAAATGTTATATTTTTTTTGCGAGTTGAAATGAGTTGATAAAAGCTAGACATGGCACCTGTATTGTTCTGTCCATTTCTCTTGGTGCAATATTAACTTCTGTAGATGGCTGATTAACCTGTTACCTCCTGTATAACTTTAAATGCCCCTTTTTAAGGAGAGCAAGGGGGAAAGGTGTCAAGAAGTAGCAGGTGTTCTTGCTGAGATTTCCAGAAGCATTTTCTTAAACTTTGTCCTCTTTTTACTGTATTACTGTCTTTTACATGTTAATTTCCTTTTTTTATATGTAAATGTAACAAACTTGAAATACTGGAACACAGTTAACATTCCAGTGATATTATGTCCTGTGATATGAAGGCTATTTATAGAGAAAATGTTTTTAAATACTTCTTTTTCTGTGAATTGTGGGTTGGCAGACCTTATTCAATGCAGTGTTTCACACTTTTTTTTTCTGTAACATTTTAAAGATAAAACAATATTTGAATTTTAATGTAAAATTTGGAAAAAAACTTCAATTCTAGAAATATGTCAGTGAATCTTTTTCTAAGTTGATTCAGTAATAAAAGTCATGGTGTAACTGGTTTCTCTTAATTAAGAAAAACATACTGAAAATGTGGATGGTGGGTTTTTTAAAAAAAATATTTCTTAGCTCTTCCTCTATCCTGAAAAAATTACCTTTTTTCGGTATTAAAAAAATTACTTTTTTTTCTTTGAGGTGTGGTGTGGCAGATACAAAAGAGACCACTCTTCTTGGTTTTATCACTTGAGCTTCTGTACTTGGCACAGTCCCAGATCCTTCTGTGGCCCCTGGGTAGAGCTGCAAGAAGCATAAGACTGGGATGCTGTGGTGTTCTCAGCAGTTGTAGTGACTTCAAAATTGTCTCAGAAATTGGGAGGTAACTCTTAAAACACAAGTGCTCCCAACGTCATCACACCTCTTGTGTGGTGCACGGTGCTTTTGATAAAATGCCACTTCTGTTTGGCAAGAGTCATTCTAGAAAAAAGGCTGTTTCTAGGTGTACCACAGTGCCAAGTATGTGTTCTAAAGTTTAGGAGTGTGTTATTGAAGGTGACATTTCTGTGACAAACTGGGATAATAACGCTACACTTGAATTGTGTGGCAATTGTATTTTTTGGATTTCTGATATACTTGGTTTGGAAGTCAAAGCCTCCATTTGGGAAGGACAGAGGTTACAGGAGTTAGTATGTGTTGCTCTGTTAGCATACTTGGTTTACCAGATGCACTTCCATGGATGAATCACTTAAATTTCGTTGTCAAACACATTGCTGGTGACATTCAAATATTTTCTTAATTTTTGTATTTTTCTTCAGATATGGCTTCCGTACAACGTGCATCCTTCCTTACAATATCCATGTTCATGTTTTGTGTTCTACAAAAGCCAGTACCAGAAATAGCTGAAGTGCTGCAAAGATCTGGTTTAGCTGTATTTATGGTTACCGTGGCAGCTGCTTTGGGTTAGATGCACACAAGTCTGTATATTTCACATCTGCTTATACTGGAATACTGGTTGTGATGTGTTTTTAGGAGGAGAGATTACAGATTACTATAATCTTATTATATAAAACCTACATAAACCTTAATTTGAAATTATTTTAAACATTCAAAATAGGTACAGTGTCTTTGGAACACTAAAAATCAATTAACTTATGATGGTGTTATCAGAAATGCACAGAAGAAAGCAGTAGAGTGTGATTGTTTTATTGAATAGATCTTTTGAAAATTGTTTTGAATATTTAGATGCTGAAGATGCAAGCTTTGATATTTATGTCACTATCCAATCAAGTGATATTACCAGGAGTGGATTTTTCAAAAGGATCAATTAATTTTTAGTGGAAGCTGTTCTGGTTTATTTAGGTTTTGAAGATTTAATCCTTCCAAGTGATTGAGATTTTTGGCTCAGTATTCCTACTTTTATTTATATATATATAAATGTATGTATGCACATTTTAAATATATATTTTTTTAAAAATCTAGGAGGCTTTTTCTTTGAGCTACTTTGCTGTAGATCAGGTTTTCTTAGTGGGTGAGTGCTCTGGTAGGACCATTTCTTTCACAGAGAAAAGTATTTTTCCTGTCAGAGGAAACAGCTTATTTTGCCATTAACCTTCTGGCTTCTATAGGAAGAAAGGAACAAAGGATCAACTAGTGAACTGTCACTGTGGGGAATTGTAATGCTTTTAGGTTTTATTTCTCACTGTTTTTACTGGGAAGCACTTCTGCAGATGACAAAGGGGGAGTGATGTAAAATACTGTGAACACTGTAATCTTTCACTCCGTTCTCTCGAGGTTTGTGTCACAGAACAAAGGCTACACGAATTAAGAAAATAAATGGAGTAAACGTGTATGTCACTTAAATCACTAAAACTTTCTAAGGGATAAGACTGGCCTTTGGCAAGGGTTTTGTATCCAGGTTCCATCATGGACTTGGGAAGTTATTTGGGTACAGCTGTGGGTTTGCATCTCTTTTTGGGGTTAATGTTGTGAGCTGGATCAGATCTTTGGGAAGCAGCTCCTGAAATCCCTTGTGCATTGGGGAAAACCAACATTGCTACCCCATTATTTTGGTGTAGCACACCTGCTATTCAGTACCTCCCTTGCCAGCAGCAAGTGAAAAGATTGGGAAGACATTGAAGTGGGCAGCTGAGACAGCCATCTGCAGTCATAGAATCATAGAGTGGTTTGGGTTGGAAGGGACCTCAAAGACCATCTGGTTCCAGCCCCCCTGCCAGAGGCAGGGACACCTTCCACTGGATGAGCTTGCTCAAAGCCCCATCCAACCTGGCCTTGAACACTTACAGGGATGGGGCATCCAGAGCTTATTCTGCAAACTGTGGCCTGTGGGCCCTTGTGTGTATGGATTGGCTGCAGTTTGTGCAATGGGGATAACTCTTACTTTCTCCAAGGCTTTCTCTGGTGTGACCTTGGCACTTGCTTACATTTGTATGCTGATTGGCATGAAGGGGTGTCACTGTGGTTGAGGCTGATCATCACTGTCATCATATGATGGACTAGAAAAAATCTTTAGTTTGTCCACCCTGTACTTTATTTGATGTAGGAGAAAGGTTGTGAGTGAAAAAAAAACATGTTGTGGGCTTTTTTTTTGTTTCTTGATTCAGAATGCTTCATTTTACTAAAACTGTGTTCTTATGCTCTTTAAGTAGCCATGAAATGCAAAAATCTTTCTACTTTTCAGGAGGAACTTTTAATGCAAAACCACTCCCTGAATTCTTTCTGGGGAAAAGGTAACTGTTAAATATTCTATATCTGGGACTGAACTGTCCTACTCTTTTTTTTTTCATTTGTTTTGTATTACCTTAAGTTTTTATTTCCATTTCCATTTCATTTTACCTGGCAAAACAAATGTTTCTAAAAATAATAAATATCAGAATAACCCATTGGTCCGTAGTAGCTCTGTTGTGGTAATGTATGAAAACTCTTAAGTCAATAGTGTTTTTGACTTCTAAGCATGCCACGACACATTTGGAGCTTATCTGCAGCAAAGATCACAAGGTTGTGTTAGCTGCATCAGTAGGAGACATGCTTGTTAAGGGATTACATGCATAATTTCTCAACAAAACAGTCATTGCCAGTGGCAATGGAAAATCACGAGAAGATGAGATTTTGTATCAGTATGTTGTTTGCACACCTCTTTAGTACAGTGGTGTGGGTGGTTTTTTTAACCTCTCCCTAATAGAAATTTTTTTGTTAAGAGTTTTTGTTTTCAGTCATGAAACTGCTGGCCTGGTCCTCAGCCTTTTTGCTTCTGAAAATAGGTCTTTGACTTTTGAAAATGTATCAGCTCCTGGAGAACGGTGTTTGCTCACAAAATATTTCCCAAAAGTGGAACAATTTGAGGAAAAATACACTCTGAAAATAAAAGGAAATAGAGGGGTCTGTATCACTGGATATTCATATGGCTGGCTTGGGAAGAGGCTGGTTTTTCCCCACCTGAAAAAGGAGGAATTTGTTGAACTCCTCTATTATTGTGGAAGAGAGGTAAAAAAAAATGTTTTAGTGGTTTTTTTTGTTTGGTTTGGTTTTTTTTTGTTTGTTTTTGTTTTTGTTTTTTTTTGTTTTGTTTTGTTTTTTTAACTAACATGAGGGAGCAGCAGTGAACAGTCTTGCTAAGCAGCGTCTCCCCACACAGTGTGCAGGGAGCATGAATAGAGGATGCTGTTATGGGTAGCTCTTTCTGGAGCCATGGGATGTGCAAATAAACACAAACCTGGGAGGTGAACATACAGTACCAGTGCAGTGTGCACTGTTGTGGCCACTTGGGTATATCCCTTGCCTTTAGCTTGTATCAGGAATGTTATAGCAGTTGCTTGTTGAAATAAATGCCTAATCAACAATGTGAGCATAAACTATTCTTTTCTTATAACTGTGCTTAGGATTTGTGATTTATGCAGACACATGGAGTTTTTCCTATGGAACATGCAACTCCCAGCAAGACTATGGAAAAATGAGGGTGCAAGTAACCCTTGTATTCCAGTCTCTTTGTGATACATCATTTCTGCACAGAATTTGTCAGGCTTCAAAATAAAGTCCCTGAAAACTGAAGCTAAAATACTGCTAATTTAACGCTCCTAAATCCCACAGAATGTTGTAGTTTCTATTACTCTCCCAAATGAGCCAGGGAGCCAAAGCCAAAACACCATTGTTCTGATAGTAAACACGCGTAGGTTATGTGTGGTGCATAGATGTATACGGGTAGTTTTGTGTTACTGCTGCATTTTAATTTGGCTTACGGCAAAGACTCTTCATTGATTCGTTTGTGCTATCCAGCACTGTAGAGTGAATAACATCTGTTTTATTTAAATCACCAAGGGTAATAAACTCAGCCAGGTGACGGGTGGGAAAGAACAAATTAGTCCTATCACGCCAAAACGAAAACCACGGCAGCCGAAATAGCTCAGTTGGGAGAGCGTTAGACTGAAGATCTAAAGGTCCCTGGTTCGATCCCGGGTTTCGGCAGAAGAGCCTCCTTCTTTTTTCCTCTCCATGATCGGGAGGTGGCGAGCGGATGCTGCTGCTGTAGCAGCCCAGCGGCCTCTGCTCCCAGGGCTTGTGGAGAGCCGCGGAATCCTTTGTTGAGCCGATACCGAGCGTGTCGCTCATGACGAACCCTTGTCTGCTTTCCAGTTTCCCGTTTTAGCTCTTTTAAGTTTACCTTTTTTATTAAGGATGGTAAAACAAAGCAGCAAGCTTCTTTTCCGGTCCCTTCTCTGCCCCTTGCCATCTCCCACTGTCGATGACGGGAGGGAAGAGAGAAGCGAAAGTGAAACTGTGCGATGAGAAGCGGGATGACTGGGAGGGTAGGGGCAGGGAGCGAGGGAGTCTCTCGAGTACTGGGAGGGCGACAGAGACAGAAGGATTAGAGATTGCTTTTTGCCAAAATCTGGAGCGCAGGTCAAAATTCCCGGCGTCACGACTCTGCTGTCAACAGGTGGCTGAAACTACTTTACTTCCCATAAAGGCAAAGGAATACCTTCGAGTACAGGAACTGTGGTAATTAATGTCACCTAGTCTTTACCATTCATGTATTTCCTACTGATCCTATATTTATTTATAAATTGGGAAAAATCACTTGGATTTTTCTGAAGCATATTTTTAAGGAGGGCATGCACCCGGTTTTGATTTGAAGCCATGAAGAGGCAGAAAGTTTATTAATTGTCCTTGGTAATTTGTTGCAATTGTTTAAAATATATTCCTTTTATTTGGACCTGCCCTCTGTTAAACCTTCTCTCTCTTAGATCAGAGATCTTCATGGTACATGGCATTTGGTCATCACAAAACTGTCAAGTCAGCACCCAACTTTGTTTTGATAAGCTGAAGAAATCAAACTCTTTGAGACTTTCATTTTAAGACATTTTCTCCTGTTTTCAGGTAGGTTTTTTTTGTAGCCTTTTTAATATACTGATACCAGAAAAATATACAGAAAAAGGACTTTCAGTAGTGATGTCACCAGTTGAAAACGCACCAGTAAAGCAGCTCCTTACTTCTCTGCTCAGCGTTTTTCATCTATTCACAAAAAAGCGTCACTGGTCATTTTCTAATCACAGCCTCACATCAAGCCTTGATGCTGAATTACTTGTCTGATAGGAGCACTCACTACAGATGAATATCCTATTAGTACAAACAGGGGTAGTGATAGTGTTAATTAGATCCTACTAATAAGACAGATAAGGGATAGTATAACTGCTTATTTTACTATTTTTCCTAAAGATTTTTTAAGCTTTTGAACGAACATCAAGACTGCATGCTTGAGTACTCAAGGACAGAAGGAAACGTTAAAATGGTCGCTTTTGACTTCTCATATGTACTTTTGCATGTTTGATATAAAAAATAAATACATATTTTTTGCAAAAAAGCTTTTAATTATTCATAAAAGACATTAATGGTTCTTTGGGAATGAGTTAGGGAGGTATTAATTTCCTGCAGGTGTGATCAGAGGGGCAAAAGAAAGAATGACTTTACTTTCTGGCCTTTTTCATACTGCTGAATAAAAGAAAGTCATGGAGCAAACTTGGATATCAGACCTCTGACTATCTACTTGGCTTGCTCACTGGCACCCTGAGAGACAAGGTACGTTTGCTATGGAGGGAACAGCCCCACACAGTGCAGACACCAGCCAGTTGGTGCTGCTCAGCTGGGAGGCCAAGACGTGGCCCTGAGACTCCTCTTATGCAGTGGTCTGGCCTTACCCACTCAGTGCTGTTCTGGAGATTTGGTCCTCTTCTGCCACTGGATTTTTTGAGGGCCAGGAAAGGGTGTGGGTCACTCTCAAAGTGTCTGAGTTTTAGCAGGAGTACCCAGGCACATGAATATATGACAAGTGTGTGCTGTGGTAGTGTCTGAAATTTCTATTTTTAAGCTAAGAATAATATTACCTGTAACAGCAATTCCCTTCTCAGAGGTTTTGTGATGTTAAACAGAAATTTTGTGGTACACCGAAATACTAAATGATAGCATTGATACTGAGAAGAAATCTCAGTTTTGTTTGGTAAGGGATTTGGATTGGTGGTTGGCTCCCCAAGGAAGTGACCACAGCACTAAGCCTGACAGAGTTCAAGAAGTGTTTGGATGATACTCTCAGGCATGTGGTGTGACTCTTGGGGATAGTCCTGTGCAAGGGTAAGGGTTGGACTTGATCCTTGTGGGTCCCTTCCAACTCAGCATATTCTGTGATTCTGTGTCCCAGCACTGCAGCTCACAAAGCCTTGGATGCTGCTTCAACACTGAGTAAGGCCTAGGGTCTTATGTGGAAGAAAAGGATAAAATGAAGAGATAAACTTAATTCTGGTATTTTTAAACTTCTTTCTGTTTGATTTTGCAGGCTTGATGCAGATTTCTGATGTGATTTGGCAGGTTCTGCGAAAATAACTGCAAGAGTTGCTGCTTTGTTGCTTGTCACACAATATTCAGACATTTTTCATTCAGCTGTGTCTTCTTGACAATCTTTTTTTTTTTGCCGCTTTCTAGATTTATTCTTGCCATCAAACATTTCCATTTATTTTTCTATCAGCTTTTTCCCTCAAGATGAACCCCCTGCTAGCATGCAAATCCAGACTACTTTCACATCTTTCTAAGACTTTATGTTTTAGTTACAAAGTTCCTTCTCTGCAACTGGGAAACTTCTCTGCCCCTACAGATATGGTTACATACACTTTTTAAAATGTCTATCAAATACTGAAGTTGATACCTCACAGGGATTCAGAGAAGAAATTACATTTTACAATGTTTCTTCAGCTGCATGCAAATATTCGAAATCTGGTGGATTTGGTTCATGTGCTTTTTCCATGACCATCTTTGGCTTCTGTTTTAAGTGAATGAAAACTGTGGCAGAAGGAGCAGCTCAGAGAGAGGTGTACCCCACATCCTAGCTCTGCTGCAGGCTGCAACAACTTGCAATCACAGAACATGACAATTAATAAAGAAGCTTAGAGCTTTACTTTGAAACACCTATATTTGGTGTTTTTGATAGTGATGGGAGGAATTTGCTGTGCCTCGTGGTTTTTTGTAGGCTTCCTGAGGGTTTTAGCAGGTTTAGGTGTTCCTCATATGAGATGATCCTCCTCTCCCTCCATGTCCCTTAACTGCACGTGTACCTGATTTAAAAATCCCCTCCTTGTCCCTGATTGCAATTTCTGGACTTGATATTTGTTACTGTCTTAGACAACACTCTCAGCAGTGAAAAAATTGTGCTCACATGTAGTAAAATTTCCTTCTCTTTGGGTTGAAAATTAGGTTTGTTTGATAGAAGATATTTGTTTCTGTCTCTTGACTAAAAGATTTCTGACTTTGTCTCCCTCACAGACATCTGGTAAATCTCATTTAGTTACACAGTATGATAGAGGCAAGGGGTTTAGAAACATGAGTCAGGACTCACATTTAGTGCTTTTTATTTTTGTATATTTTTGATAACAAATCTTAGTTATTGTCTATCTGGTCTCTGGTCCTGTAGAAGAAGTAGAATTGTGGGTTTCAACTTTCTGGAAAATAAAACAAAAATTTTCAGCTGACAAAACCTCATGTAATAATGAGGCCTTTTCTGGTCCAGTTTCTTGGGAGTTTTGGTTTAATTTTTTATTTTTCTTTTTTATTTCCTAGTGATATATTCCAGAGTTCCTACTTTGTGCTTTTGTAGGAATATGGAGCTCATATTTCATAGTAACGTAGATCTGTAGAATATATGGTACAGTTAACAAGGCAAATCTGGGACAGTTAAGAGAAACCTTAACCTCCAGTCCTGCTATGGTTATCAATGCTATCTTTATTCCTCAGTGAACCTCAGGGGAAACATTATACTTTTTGTTGCAATGTACATACATCCTCTTGCTTTAAGCAAGGGAGCATTCATTACTTTGCCCAACAATGTTCTTGGGATTTAGCCCACATGACATGAAGGATGATTATCTTTTGTTCCATTTTATATTTTCCATTGGGATAAGTAGTAGCATTAGGATTTTGAATAAAAATTGTGAGAGAAGAGTGTCTTCTGGAACAGGCTCTGTAAAGATTAATGTAAGATTCCAACCCAAACTGTATTGTGATTCTATAATTTCTGATATGACTTCAAATACAGTGTTTGTTCTATCTTTCAGATTTTTTCTTTTAATGTGGTACAGAATGAGACCTGGATTTCCTTCTTCATATTTTCTCCCCTGTGAATGGGACAATTTGTTGCGTAGGTGAATTGTTGAGATGAGAGCCTCTGTCCTACCCTTCCACACTGCAGATGAAGTCTTACGCTCACGCCTTCCTGATCATGTCCCAAATCATGGGCCACAAAGACAGACTGCACGTTCACTGGGCTTTGGGCTCCTAACAGGTTTTGCACAACATCTGTAAAGCTCCACATGTGCCAAAACTAGGATATTGAATCTGTTTGTATTCCATTTCACCTTACGTAAACTGGAACAAATCTATTCTGTGGAGGTCCTCTCCTACCACAGCCATTTAGTGACATTCACCTCACTTCACTTTAGGCATTTAGAAGAGCCGTGTCTGTCTGAGTTCAAACCAATCACCCTCACCTTCTTTTAAGTTCAAGGCAGAGAAATTAGGATAGAGAGGTCATCTGAACTTGCCAAGATGCCAATCTGAATGGGGAGGCGAATATATTCTATGACTGCCTTTATAGTTAGCCCAGACTAGGAGCTGATGAAATAATTCTGGAGAAAAAGCTGTCTTTGCTTAGGTGGTCACCCTAGCAGTGGTTTAATCTGTCAGTCAGCATTGTATTTATCTAAACTATAGATAGCTTAAGCTTTTATCTCAGTTCCTACATGATATGGACTCTGGAAAAAGTATGCTTGTTTAGTTAGAAAGTTTAATGGAGTCTCACTAACCAAATGATGATACTCCTTAATGATCACCAAAGTAGTTTCTCAGATGTGTTAAATGAGGGATGGGATGGAAGAATGATTTTACAAAGGAAATAGAAGTGCTTGTTCATTATCTCTGACAGAAATGAATAAAACTGCAGTAAGGCAACATCTGACTTGAAAGTATAAAAATGCATCCACAAATAATGTTTATTTAAGGCTGTGGAAAGATCTAACGGAGTTGACACAGGCATCTGCCATACTAAAGCAGTGTATGATTTTAGGACCTTTCTGTGCAAGTTATGTATAGTACATGCTTCAGCTAGCACGTGTTCTGGGAGAAGTGAGAAGCAAAGTGCCATCAAATTTGGAGCTTTTGAAGTGAATGTCTTTAATGAGGAATTCCCATTGCAGTCAGCTCCAGACTTGCAGGAGGCAAGTTCAGCCGGACTGCAAGGCCCAGTGAGGAATCAGCGAGGAATCCCAGTGGGATTCATCTACCTAAATTGAGGTTAGGTCTTGTGTGGTGCAGTTCATCCTTTCCTAATGTGAGTACAGAAAACAGGCCAAGCGAATTGCACCCTAAAACCATCTATTTCTCTCCATTGAGAGAGTATCTCATGAAGGAAACCCTGAGTGACTGGTTATGTGTAGATATCAATAATCAATAGATATCTAACATCAAGTGAGATGAATTTCATCCTCTGTCACAAGGAAGCCTATGGGTAAATCCACAAAAAGATGATGGGAAATTGGTGACACAAGTAAAGCTTGAGTAATCCAGCATCCTGATTGATAGGGTATGAGTACAGCAGTTGAGGAAAGAAAACTCACATAAGACTGCGAAACTGTCTTTAACTCGGGTTGAATTCCTGGCTGCACTCATCTTGTGTATTTTCCATGAGACCTGAGCAGATTGTTCTTCTCTGAGGTACTCCTCTGTTCTAACAATATGTGAATGTATTGTAGCATAAAAATTGGTTTTCAGGAAAAGAATGCCACAAATCAGAAAGGGACTGGATAAAAAAATATGAGAAGCCAGGAGATGAAGACCCTGTTTATATGAAGAAGGATTTTGTGCAAGGGCAGGATCATGAGGTCTTCAGAGCTGCTTTGCCATGCCCAGACTTTGGCTTCATTCTCCCAGATACAGGACAGGGAGACAAAGGATAAGGTGATGAAAGAGCAGTAGTTTGTACTGAGAGTTCCTAAAGACTTAAATTTGCTATGAGATTCAGGAAATCTAGAACATGCACAGGTATCTGGAAGCTGCAGGTTTCTTTATAGAATTATCTTTCTTCTTGTTATTTCTAGAGTTATCACCTGTCTTTATGATATAACCTGTAATTTATTTATTCTTTCTATTGACGTATTGGTTTCCATACAAGTTTATATGTAGAATGTTTTATTTTGACCAAAATTCCTTCCAAAATGCCAAAGGCTAAATACTTTTCTGGCTTGATGTTAATCTGTGCTTGAGTACAGTAGAAGGAACCTGAGAAACAATAGTGTCATTGAGAAAAAAAATGTGAACCCACTGCCTACTTAGTATTCAGGAGTTCTGTATTACTCGTGTGGATTGTGTTTAGTGATTTCTTTGCCTGTATCTTGGAGTATTCTTTTTCTTTATTTCCTCTCTTGCCACATCCTGTCTTTGATGACAGGATGAGAAGTTTGCTATTGAGGGTGACCATGGTCACGAATCCAGACTACAAAGTAGCTGAAATACTGTTTTCCTGTACTTTCAGTGTAAAGCCTAAATATTTTAACTAGTATATTTAACACAGTTTCAGGTGTGGTAGCCTGACCTAGTAGCTCAGATGTGTGGTGTGGTGGGTTCACCTTGGCTGGATGCCAGGTGCTCACCAAAGCCATTCTGTCATTCCCCCCCTCAGCTGGACAGGGGAGAGAAAATACAGCAAAAGGCTTGTGGGTTGAGATAAGGACAGGGAGAGACACTCACTAATTACTGTCATGGGTAAAGCAGACTGAAATTGGGGAAATTAATTTATTACCAGGAAAATCAGAGTGGAGTAAAGAGAAATAAAATCAAATCTTAAAAACACCTTTCCCTCATCCCATCCTCCATTCTGGGCTTAACTTCACTCTCAAATTCTCTACCTTCTCCCCACCAGCAATGCACGGAGACAGGGAGTGGGGACTGTGGTCAGTTAATCACACATTGTCTCTGCCACTCTTTCCTCCTCACACTCTGCTCCTGCTCCAGCCTGAAGTTCTTCCCACAGGAGACAGTCCTCCATGAATTTCTCCAATGTGAATCCTTCCCACAGGTGCAGTCCTTCAGCAACAGACTGCTCCAGTGTGGGTCCCTGCAGGGACACAAGTCCTACCAGCAGATCTGCTACAGCGCAGGCTCCTGCCTCCACAGGTCCACAGGTCCTACCAGGTGCCTGCTTCCCATGGGGTCACAGCTTCTGTTGGGCATCCACCTCTGGTGTGGAGTTCTCCACAGGCTGCAAGTGGATATCTGCTCCCTGTGGACCTCCATGGGCTGCAGGGGGACAGTCTGCCTCACCATGGTCTTCCCTACAGACTGCAGGGGAATCTCTGACCTGGTGCCTGATGCAC